TTGTCATCCTATCTGCCTAATCTAATATCTAGCCCTGTTGTGTCACTACCCCCCTTATGCCCTGTCCTCCTAGCCCTGTTGACATTCAAACAGCCTAATATCCTGTCCCCAGGGAACTAAAGTGGGGTGGAGGGACACCACCCTAAAATCAGGCTGTCACTCTGAAAGCAGGACAGTTGGGAGGCATGTTTAAACATGTCTTTATTCATGCATGGAAAACAGATGTGTTGACAAATTCTTCAACTCAACTATGTCTGGCCTAAATTTGCAATTTCTTAGACATTACCTAACCATTCTTGGTTTAATTAATACAAATTGATAGATTTATATATAGATTCACAATGGCACCCTTATCAGGTCTTTTATTAGAGAAAAACTACTTAACTATTTTTACTGGTATTTACAGAAATATGTTTTTAAATTTGGTTTCAGTTAAAGCCATATCTGTGGCACCTCTAGAATTCCTTCTTCTTACATCAATTTGGCTATACAATCTAAAACATAATGAATATTTTGATAGTTGCACTGATAAAAAAACAATGAAAGAAAACAATGACAACTTGAATGTGCAGTAAGAATTTATTTGTATGATGTTATTCCTTGAAATAAAATGATTTGTCTGCTATTGAATCGATTGTAAAATTTGTGTTAAATTTTCAGTTCACATTTTCAGTTAAATCTGTAAAAAGAAAGAGAGACTATTTATTAATACATAGAAGGCCTGTAAAATGATTCACTTTTTTCAAGTTATCAACTGTTTTTACAAATTATAGAAAAATTGAAATAGGAACAATATGTAAGAACAATCCTGTGTATAATTCAATAAAATTGTGATATCAACGTATCATGATAAGGATATAAATGTCTGCATCATCCCAGTACAGGTAGAAATATTCTACTTTTAAGTGCCAAAGCTGAAACTCACTGAAGCCTAGAATAATTCATATATTGCATGAAGCATTAACCTCGATATGAGTGCATATATGCAATGTCAGAATGACACACAGGAGATCACAAAATGTCACGTCATTGGCGGATATAGCTTTTGATTTATATTATTTACCACTCGAGTTAGTATAATAGTATTGATCAAGCCTACTGCTTTTAGTAAAATATTTTAGCAACTCGCTTTTGAATATAAACTTTTCAAGGGGGTATAAATACAAATGTAAGTTTCATAGGCAGTGCTTTGAAAGAATAGAGATATTCAAACATGCTACTGTGAGACGCCTATTTAATTAGCATTTTTATAAAAGTAATGCAGTTCAAGAGGCTGAACAATGAGCAGAATAAGACTAAATGAAAATTATATGGTACACATAGGTGAATATTTTTTTTCCTAGTTTAACATTTTTCCTCTCTTACGTAGGTGCCAATTTTCCCACTACTCATAAGCAATCTTGCAGTTTTTTGGTTATGCAACTTTGGTGTTACCAACCCTTGTAAATGGATGTATAAACTAGTAAAAGGTAGGATTTAAATCCCTGATAACACAGCACTGTCATAAGGTCTTAAGCTTATACGTTTTACAGACAATAAAAATTCACATTTAATTAAGTTTATATAAAAGACGTCATATAGAGAAATTGACCTTTGATTTTTACATTTAGGAAACTCACTTATTTTCTACCTTTGTTAGTGCAATAAATCTATAGCCATGACGTTGACGTCTCTTCTTATCTAATTCAAATTCTATCTGTACTTCTCATTTCGTTTCTGATTAGCTCGTCATTTTATTTTATCAGAAAACAGCCATTGTTAAAATGCATTGCTTGCATTGGATTTAAGAAATAAATGTCGGAAAAAAATATACAATAGAAAAATGTATTCTCTAGTATGGCAGACCTTATCGATTATATTATATCCTTTAGTTTATTAACCTTCTAATTTGTCCACAGCTGATCCTTCTTAGATTGTCACTGTTCAGCCATTGAGTTGATGGTTCTGTATGGGCAAACACTTTGTGTTTGTAATTCGTTTAGATCTATCTATTAATTTGCACCTTTACTAATTATTTTTTTAGTATAGAGTATAAATAATGATTTTTCTATATATTAAACGCACGCTTGCTATCAGTGTATGAAGGTCCATTGAAACAGCCTTCAATTTGTCAGACTCATCTAATCTAGCGTTGTCTTGTACACTATTTTTAATGATCTTTTTTGTTAATATGTGTACATTGTAAGATAGTTTGTGCATTGCCCTAATTGCACAGTTGTACCCACCAATAATCTATGTTACAACTCTTTATAATCTTAAGTGCCATAATCAGCGAGAAACCATTTACCTTATTTGTCGCCATGAGACCCTTGACCCTGACAATGGTGTCCAGCATTTGAGCCTGTAAAAAATGTAATAAAGTCAGTAAATGTTAGCAGTTGTCCTGACATTCTGATATCAGCTAGGTGTCAGCTGAAAGGCTCAGACCACGAATGGCAGCAAAATAGGAATGGAATTGATATTAATTGTGGAAGAAGAAAAAAAAAATAACGAAAGCAGGTTGTGAAATTACTCACTCAAAAATATACAGGACTATATATATTTCTAGCATAGGGATGTCCAGGTGCCAAATTACAAAGATAACAAAGAGAAACAAATGTGTCATAAAGAAAGAAGTGCTATCCTCAAGTAAAATGAAGAAAAAACAACTCCCAGCAGCCCAGAGGGGTGTTTTTATCATTCAGTTGCAAGATGAGACTATGCTAGACAAAGATGGTATGTAGACCTACAGAGACTGGGAGATCAAGGTGCGTAACTAGATATGGAGAGGTGGTGACACTGCTTTCATTTAGACAGAGTTTGAAAGATTATCTAAGACCTTTAGCGTTGTCTAGGCCAGTGTTCTCCAACCTAGTCCTCATGGACCACAAACAGTCCAGGATTAATGTATTTCCCTATTTTATTCCAATGGAGATACTGACAAAACCTGGACTGTTGGTGGTCCATGAGGACTGGGATGGACAACACTGGTCTAGGCAGTATTCGTATTTGAGCTATCCTTAGCATTACAGACAGAGCATTAATATTATGTCTTCTGCTTTTTCTACTGTCTATTGAATTAACTCTACAATCCTCTCATGTCTTATAGGTGAGAGTTAAGCTTCTCAGCACCCTCAGTACAACTTTATAAATAATAATTTTGTATCTATGCGTGTAAATTAAACTTAGATCTCATTTCTATCCTCTAATGGCTTATCAGAGGTTGTTACCTAATATTGTATAAGTTGATTACAAATTAGATTTATTTGTTAGTTTTGACCAGGAAGGCCACCTTGTGGTCATGGGTAACGTCACAACCTTATTTTTTAAAAATAATAAAATAATAATAATAAATTGTATGCATATACTTGGAAAGCAGTATGAATGAGTTTTCTGAGAGAATATTTTTCAATATTTTGGCAGAGATTAGCTTCTTGAATATGAGTATTTCATTGCACATCCTATTCTTTTTTTTTTTTCCGTTGTGTGTTGCTTTAAATGTGCACTTTGGGTTATGCCCAATGCTGCCAGTTGGGTGAGGTAGTCGCATTTCATTTTTAAAGGTCTACAATAACATGGAAGTGGAACATTCAAAATTAACAATTCCCACAAGCCTGTGTTAGACCTAAGAGCACTATAATCCATACAATGACATGTAGTGATTATGTTGCTTAAACTAACTAAATAAGTTATTGGAGTTAGATAAAAACACACATATATATACACACAATTGTTTGTCTTGATGTTATTGATATGTTCTCATTAAAACATTATTTTACTTATTTAAAAATATATCTGCACACTCTGTATTGTTTGCTCATTAAAATACAAAGAAATGCTGAATCCTGTCTCTGGAAGTTCACTTCTATCAGCTTGAACTCACTTATTACAAATCCTGTTATGTATATAGATATTAAACTATTTTGAGAAGATTATTTATTCACTTCTTAATGTTTTTTTGTTGCTTTTTATTATTTGTATGATTAGGTTTGTATTTTTCTTTTACTGTTATTGATAAGAATATGTATAGAATTACTTGGAAGAATCTATACGCTTTATTCGTTTTTAATTTAATTATATGTTTTTCATCATCATTATTATTATTTTTTTCATATATATATATATTTTTTAATTTTTTAATTTTTTTTATTTTATTCAATTATTTGTAACTAAGTGTATACTTTATGGCAATTAAGATCATGATACATGTTCTTTCTATCTTTCTTTATTTTTTATCTATGTATGGCACGATGGACACTTTGTGATCCTTTTGAGTTGACAAGCTTAGTACCCAATTTGGAACGCTCTTTTGTTGAAACACAAGCGTTCACCTTCCGGTCTCCCTTTGGAACGCAGATAGACTCAGTGGAACGCTCACATGACCGCTAATGCGGTCAGAAACTAGGCTTGGAATACACACTGAAGAAAATAAGCGTCAGCTGTATTCCCCCTATACGGATGAGCTGATGGCATCCGGAGGAGGAGCTTAATGGATTTAAATACCGAGCCGGGCGGCAAAGAGATTCTACACAGGAGACCAATCTTCATTTTACCCCTGAGGAAGTCTGAATAGTCAGACGAAATGCGTAGGGTTGGGACTTTATGTAGGAGAGTATTTTGTTTTTATTTTCTGTTTTATTTGTGTTATTTAATACATTTTTTAAGCTACAAGGATTTCTTGCTTATTTACATTTGAATGTTCTGGCGGACTTCATCTGAACTCCTTGGCAACCTGTGATATGATATGCCTATAAACCTCTGCAATCTTGTAAGTGTGTTATCATTTAGTGCTTCACCAGGTCAATAACAGCCTGCACTTATCATCTTATTTTCTTCTCTCCTATATGCTCTTATACATGGGGAAGATTGCTAATCAACCTTATTATTGATGTGCCTTCAATCAACTTTTTTGTTGTGAGTGTTACTTTTAACACCACTTTTAGTATTCACTTAAGATAGTACACTATGATGTTTGTTTTTTTCATCCTACTATAGAACCTATATTTTATGCATGAACTCAGTCCTTACCTTGACCATGGTGACCCTCTTGGCCATGACCTCCATGATGACCCTGTTGTCCACTTTGGCCATGACCTCCATGATGACCCTGTTGTCCACTTTGGCCATGATGACCTTGTTGTCCTTGTTGGCTTTGACTGCCTTGTCCTCCATGGTGGCTCTGCTGGCCCTGACCTCCATGATGACCTTGTTGTCCCTCTTGGCCATGACCCCCATGATGACCCTGTTGTTCTTGACCTCCGTGGTGACCCTGTTGCCCTTGTTGGCATTGTTGGCTCTGTTGGCCTTGACCTCCTTTAACTCCAGTCATGGTAAGATATGGTTTTGTGTAGACTACTTCAGGTATGAAGTCTAATATGCTGTATGTTTGCTCCGAGATCCTGCTTTTATATTCCAGGGGTAGAATTTATTGCTTTGGGATGGTAGATACAATATTCAAAATTCACTCTGATTCATCAACATTTTAAATTGATTCATATTATTACTGTTATGGATTGCTGTATATGTAAACTGATTTTTACAAGATAATAAATATGAAAAATCGTGCATCAATACAGCGTCTTACCATCAAAGAGTTTATTCATGAATCACAATATAAAGCTGCATGACAGTACATAGTATTGTGATGACCCAGCTTATTAATAATGATTGATTTTCTATATACGCCTTAAATATTTTAAAGCAAGAATTAGACGAGCTTCATGCTTTTGTAGTTGAGGAAGTCATGATGAAAACATGGGTTGGTCCCACTTATAATGAAACTGTCATCTAGAGAATGATGGAATGGTGAATGACATATAGCTCTCCTAATATTTTGTTCATGTAATAGATTTTTGCCAGACCACTATATGTGTAAGAAATGCCATTCTTTTTAAACAATTTAATTTTGTTATATAGTTAAATAAATGGGAAAAAACACAAATACCTCCAGGCTTATCTGTCACCTACCTATATAAGTTGTATTTAAACTATATCACAGAATTCTATACTCATGGCTAAGCATGGCCACACAAGCCATCTTCTAGTTCCACATTCTCTATATATTAAGAAAAAGTAAAATTAAAATAAAAGATGCACTCATACATCTAAATCCAAACTCATGGTCATTAACCCCATTAAGGACAACAGTCAGGACCCTAAATGCCCTTCTTCTTTTCCATCTCTTGCTGTATTCTACCCTCGAAATGTTAAATGATTGGGAAATTCAATTTTGATATAGAATCATTTAAAGGGACACTAAGCACCAGAAGCACTACAGCTTTATGTAGCAGTTATGGTACTTAGAGTCTGTCCCTGCAGGCTGAAATTGTAAACACTGCCTTTTCTGAAAAGGCATCGAGGCATCACTTACATTTGTGCCTAAGGAACCTCTAGTGAAGTCACTCAACCACTGCTCAGCCTACTCTAAAGGATTTTCATCTTTATTACATTAATACATTTCAGGTAAGAGACGTGAGAGAATGGCCAGGCTCTCAAGTCCGATTGTAGCAATGGGACGAAATTGCTTTGGTAAAGGTCATCCAACAATGAAGTGACCTAAACACCTAAGTATTTTAACTGCAACGTGCACCATTTAAATGGGAATGATGATTGGAGCCGAGCAGACGGACATGTTTTGTATTTCAGATTGATGAGTATTTAGCTTAATATTCTAGCGGGACCCATGGGTGTCAAACTCATTATGAAGGCTTGGAAGTGTTAAGGCTGGTCTCTCAATGAAGAAGAGTATAGTGTCTCCACACACTGCAACTTCATGCTCCACACACTGAATATGAACACTAGAAGTCAGGCATACATGCAGTGATCTGATAAGCATTGTCACCTTATGGCTGGCATCCATCCTCTCCAGAACAATGTCAGTCAAACGCTGTTTCAGAATATGTGGATAGTATTAGCGTGTGTTGACGTTGAAGGCAGACACAATGCTATTAAAGGAACACTATATTTACAAAAAATAACTTTAGCTTAATAAAGCAGTTTGTTGTTTTACTCATGACTCAGAAGTCTCACTGCTCAATTCTCTGACATTTAGGAGTTAAAAGGAGACTATACTCACCACAACAACTACAGCTTATTGTAGTAGTTCTGGTGAGTATAGTCAGTCTCTGCAGGCTTTTTGCAGTAAACACTGATTTTTTTTCAGAGAAAATACAGTGTTTACATTACAGCCTAGTGATAACTTCACTGGCCACTCCTCAGATAGCTGCTAGAGGTGCTTCCTGGGACAGTGCTGCACAATGACATTTAGTGAATTCATCCTCTGCATTGAGACACTGAACTTTCCTCTTAGTGATGCATTGATTCAATGCATTTCTATGAGGAGATACTGATTGGCCAGGGTGGTGTTTGGCTCTGCCCCTTACCCCATCAGATGTTAACTTACTTTAAAAGTTTGTATCTCCAGCTCTGTAAGTTGAACTTTAATCACATACATGGAGCTCCTGCAAAGTCAAGCAAGCTATTTACAGTGCAGGATATAAGTAATTCTAAATTAAACAGAATTTGCAATAAAAAAAGGGTAAATATTGTACCTCACTTTACAGGAAGTGTTTAAGAAGGTTGGTGTGACTAGGGCTGCATTAACAAAGTGATTTATCCCCTAAATAGAAGATAATGGAGCAGTGAGACTGAAGGAGCATTATCCATACACCAGAAACTGCTTCATTAAGCTAACGTTATTTTGGTGATCATGGTGTCCCTTTAAATAATCTCAGTGTTATCCTTTGCTTTTTTCCCTTAACTTATCCAGGGGGACTATATGAGCATTTTGATGTTTCATCTTCTATACAAGAAGCTTGGTAAAAAGCTAAATGTTCTTGTTCAGGAGACACATGGGCCTATAACTTGAGCACATGTCCTTACCCACTATTGGGTGGACTATAAAGTGTGCTGTTAAGATGTCTCTTAAAGTGGAGTTTAATAAAAATATGAGGTTAAAACAGGTGGGCAAATCTTTGTACAAACCTAGATGAAAGCAGTCAATGCCTGTGGCCTGAGTAGGACTGAGAGCGCCTTGTATTATACTGTAGATGTGGACCAGCACTATTTGTTTCTGTAACATTAGGACACAAAGGCGACCCCTTTTGTTAGAGAACTACATATAAGTTAATAAATCTTTTTAGTAAATCTCTTGGCTTACCCTTGCTATGTGGACATCCAAATTTAAACCTCCTTGGGCAGAAACATCTCTTCTCTGGGTACAATTTTAAAGGAACACTATAGACTTGGGAATACAAAGCTGTTATTAGGCAGGCAGGCTTAATGTTGTGGCTGATCAGTGTATACTTTTTGAATACAAAGTTAGAGAGAAAAAATACAATTGTTTTCCAGATGGCAAATTCATTGTTAACTAGGTCATTATTCTTTATTTGAGACATATACTGGAATATATATATATAGTCTCAAAAAGCATTACAATAAATAATGTGAGAATATAAGCTAAACGATTATAAAGCAATTGTGTAGGCTTTTGGCTGCATAATGTTTTCCTCTTGATCTGCTCTCACCTACAGATGTATTAAGATCTTTACGTTTGTTTTCTTTACATTTACTTTCTTACATGTGCTTTAGAATATCTGAAAAGAACACTTTTGTTTTAGGAATACAAAGATGTATTCCTAACACTAAAATGTCCCGCAACCTGGTAGACTGTTTCTTTAAAACTGCAATGCTTGACATTGCAGGGCTAAGGGGCTCAGGGACAGTGTACCTAGACCACTTGAATGAGATGAACCTGCCTGGGTGCCTATAGTATCCCTTTAAGAATACTTTGATAAATCATTCCCAGTTAGGCAATCATATTTGAGGATACCGTCATGTGCCATTTTATGGTGATTAATAATCTAATTGCAGGTAAGAAATGAAAATACAGGACATATTGATGAAGTATTTTTTCATAATTATTGTGTTATGATGTGTAAATAATATCATGTTGCTCATATAATGATCCACTAGGATAATAATATTAATTAACTGTAATTCATATTAGTAATATAATAATATGAATTAACAAACAGTTGATGAATCAGAGTGAATTTTGCCAACAGAACATTTCTTCTAAATTCCACAAATTCTGTCTTTGTTATAAAAGTGAGCTTGTTGGAATAGAGTTGACATACAGAACATTAGACTTCTTTCCTTCCTGACGTGTTCTACACAAAACTAAATCCTATAATGACTGGAGTTAAAGGAGGTCATGGCCAACAGAGCCAACAATGCCAACAAGGGCAGCAGGGTCCTTATGGAGGTAACGGCCAGCAGAACCTCCATGGAGGATATGTCAATCAAAGCCAACAATACCAGCAAGGGCAACAGTGTCATCACGGAGGACAACATGGACAACAAGGACAACATGGGCAGCATGGCAGCCATGGACCTCAGAATCTATCCCAGTGCAACAATCCCTGCCAAGATCCTTGTCAACAGCAGCAAGGTGGACATCAAGGTGGTAGGTTCTAGGCTAACGCTGATACGAAAGTGAACTTCTAGATATTAGATTCAGCATCACCTTGGGTCCTTACAAATAATAATACAGATTGAACAAATATAGTGGTAAACTAATGTTTAAATGAAAACATTTCAATATTTGCAAGCTCCAATAATGATCAGTGTATTTTGCAGTATTTCTCCAAACACTATTTTATTATTTAATCTATTGAAGTTACACATTTTATTTTTAAATTGAGCTTTTCTCGTAATAATATCACATTTGTTAAATAAATAGCACCTTTGTATAGAACATAAGTAGCATAAAGTAATCTGATTTCCAAGCACAAATGGCAAGATACTGTTATATATGCTATATATGTTTACTGACTTTATTATATTTTTACAGGATGGAACGCTGGGCAACAATGTCAGGACCAGGGGTCTTATGGCCAGAAATAAGGTAAATATATCATTACTGACTAAGGCTTTCAGGATTATAACAATTCTAACACAGCTAAAGTTACAATAGATTCCTGTTAAAGTATACATAGGGAATACAGCTATATGTTATAACTCCATCTTCACCTGGCGGGTCCTCTTTGGTGCTGACGTCACTGCAGTACTTTTCCATTTGCACGAGAGGCACAGCCTATTTCCTGCAGCTGTCACTGATGACGACTGCAGAGATTGACTCTGTAACTTCGCCTTGAGTCAAAAAAAGTCAGGTGGAGGAGAAATACAGAGACAAAGTAGTCCCAACTGTGTCTTTTATGTCTCTTGACTGGGATGGACAATCAAATTAGCTCCTCTCATGCTGAAATTGGCCATACCATCTCTACTAGGTAGCTAATTCATGTATACACTACACACATCACATAAAATAGCATTATTCTATAGTACAACAATGAATTATGTATATGTACCCTTGACTTGACACTAGTAGTTTTTAATACATATAGACTAGTTTTTAATAAATATAGACATTCTTCGTTAAGAATTGTCTATATTTAATAATAACTGGAAAGTGTCTAGTCTGTTTAATAATAAAATCTGTTTTTGATTTGGCTAAAATGTCCAGTCTATCAGAAGTTATAATTTCAATCAGGATACTAAAGAGAATACACTAATGGCTTTCTCATATCTTTATTTATGAAATGTATACATCTTGAAGCAGCAGAGGTAGAAATAGATAAATAGCTATTTTTAAGAACGAAAATATATAGTTTTAGTTCTTTTTATGAACTATTATAAATACATTTAAAGGGGACCTGTCCATTCTCTGGAATTTCTACCGATAGATAAAATATTCCACATCACCTAGAACTTTAGCTAACCTATTTTCATGAGATGTTACAGATATTACAAATGGGATCATAGCTAACTGGTGTCTTGCTGCATATTCATATTTCTGCTTTTGTATTGTTACTAGTAAAAAAAATAAAAAATTAAAAAGTGTTTTTGCTGTACTTTCCTTATAATTACACATTCTGTTTTCTTTTTAGAGACATTACAGAAAGTGGGAAAGACAATGACAGTAAAATTATGCCAATCACATGTCGCTGGTTGATCCATTTATGCTTGTGGAACCACACAAATAAATAAAATTCTTATTGCAAATTTAAATTGCTTGTGCTTGTCTTCTTTTCAATTCTGCAGGGAATTCAAAGTAAATTCAAAGTTAATTTTAAATTAAAGGCCTAAGTAGTCAAACAGAGCATATGATTTTTTCTGGCTCAGCTATTTTGACATTAAATTTGAATTCCCTGCAGTTCTTACTTTACTGAATAACACTGCATGCAAATGCTTATTATGTTTCTGAAAATGGTATAAAAGCAAAAACAGATATTCTAGATGTACCAGAGCTCTGGCTGTATGGAAAAGAATACTACTAATATACCTGTTACTAAGGGAGTCATCATCTATAGATACATCCTACAGTTTTTATTTATTAAACAGGGAATTGTTCATTTACATTTACATTTTACCGATGCTCCACTTTTTCTGCAGTTTGGCTTTTTTGGCCTGAATGTGTATTCCCCTTATAAATTTTTAGTTAAGTGGACAGCTGTAACTGCCAGATAAGAGAGTGACATTTTCACAAAAAAATAAAAAATCTGTAAAAAAAGTTTCATGAAATGTAATAAACGTTTAAAAAACTAGAAGTAAAAATTAGATGACAATTGCCCTTTCAGAATGGTGCATTTTTCGTTTCTGTTATTTAAGCCAAACTAAAGATATTTGAACAGAAATAAACACAATACAGCTTGAACCTGAGGCTAAAACCTATCAAACGTGTATCAAAAGAGATGTATAGAGGAACTAAAAGGCAGCAAAAATATATCAAACTAGCTCTACATAAGGTCTGCCTAACTTTCTAAAAATCATTGACCTAATACAACATTCCAACCATGTCCCCGCACAAAAATTGCTGCCAAGCCAAAAAAAATTATTTGGCACAAGAACAGCCAAACAAAGCCTTCATCGCAACTCGAGGAGCTCCAGGATGGCGCCGACACCTGAAAGTGTTGACACAGACCTGGAGAGTGCTCAAGGCAATCAGCTCACCAAGAAATGCGCACAGAGTGCAAGAATTGGGGAACAGGACCTTGAATTTTGAAAACAAAATGGTGGAATATGCCGAATGCCCACAATGAATTAGCCTCAAAGGTGGAAGACCTTATGGCAAAATTTAAAAGCATGAAACCAAGTTGGTGGACATGGAGGACTGGGGAAGGAGAAACAACTTCTGTCTGAGTGGTGTTGTGGAGAAGGTGAGCAATGCCCACCTGCAGACTACGAGCGCTTAAGCCTGACTTGCCTCTTGACATGCTACTTATTTTGTTACTTGATTGATTTATTAGTGTGCAGTTACTCCTATATCTATGATATGATGTATCTTCTACTGGTATAGCAATGTGATGGCCTGTAGGGACGTAGGAATGCATGACAAGGTCTGTAGAAGAGCTAGCACCATCACCCATACGGAGAGCTTTGTATTAACCCACATTGTATGATACCAGCTCACTGATACACAATGGAAAGCTGCCTTAAGAGCACACATCGTGCGCACCCTATTGAGAATTAATTAGGAAACTGCAACATAATTGGTACTTTGTACCAGGTAGACTATTCCATATGTATCCTAATGCTTCCAGTAAGTGCTGGAGAAAATGGATAGGTACGATGCTACATATCTGGTGGTCCTGCCAGATAATAAAACCATATTGGAAAATGGTTGTCAATGAATTCACAAACCTATTACACATACTATTCACACCCACACCAGAACAATGCCTATTGTTTATGAGCCAGGAACACATGACCAGAGTAAACAGAATGCTTATGTTCCAAGTCCTGATTGCAGCAAACACTCTAATAGCACAAGCATGGAAAACACTACTGGCACCAGAAAAGCATAATTCAAATTTCTACTAATTGGGACTATTAACTCATTGCCCACTACCACATCCATCCAAACAAACACACCAAAACCACAAAAGACATCTGGGATAGCTATGCATCCCCGTAATACCATCACCAACTGCAGACCAATAGATAGATGCCACTCATAGTGAGAGCACTTGGCATGACTGACTTCCTCCTGCCACACAAGGCCCCATGAACACTAAAAAGCCCACTACATTTTAGACAAGAGTTCATATCCTTGCCATTCTCCACTTCTAACCTCTCCCTTTTCCTCTGATCTTTGGGTATGTTTGTTCAAGAAAAACAACACCCAGATTTCCCCAGTTTGCACTGCTACCCCAGTTGTACCGGTTAATGAATGCATGGCCCTGCAGGTTGGAGGACAAATAGAACTCATAGTTACACATTAATGCATGACGGAGCATTACATACATAAAATTACCTGTGGCAGGGGTGGAAACAAGCAAAAGATTCCTCGTTCACAATCAGTTTAAAACTAGACACATATATGTGCGTGAGACTCACCTGAATGAAGTAAGGGGTGTATCGAAACATGTAGATCGTTTTTTTCAATCTGGTGTAGATGACGTATATGCCTGTTTATACATAATGTGCACACTGTCCACCAATGCCTTGTTAACCCAAATCAATGTATACAGTCTCTTTGAAAATGCTCTATATGTTGACAATTTATTGGGCTTGCTAACTACACTGATCAGCAGGGCTGGATTGGGAAAAAAAATGAGGCCCGGGCATTTTTCAATCAGAGCGGCCCCCTAAAAAGAGGGCAGAGCCAGAGAGGGTGTGTTTTGTCATCACTAATGACAAGCACGCCCCCTCTCAAAGTGAGCACGTTGGTTCAATGGGCAGAGCCCCGCTGAAGAGCTCTAGCATGTAGCCCTGTATTTGTTCTGCGCAGCGCAAACAAATGTAATAACATGGCCATCGCGGCCCACCAGGCATTTGCCCGGTATGTCTGATGGCCTGTCCGGGCCTGCTGATCAGCTACAACATTAAAACCACTGACAGGAGAATTGAATAACATTTATGGTAGAGTTACAATAGCACCTGCTGATCGTCTCTGTCCACTAATTGTCTCAGCTGGACAGTTTCGCTCGGGTCCTCCATGTTGCGGCCAGGGTGGATGGATTATTGGGAGGGGCTGGGATGATCCTGCTGTCCTGGTCCATATTGGTATCAATGACAAAGTCAGAGGAAAATAATAAGGTCCTAAAGAATAAGTTCATGGAATTAGGAAGTAAACTAAACAAACGCTCTCCAAGGTAGTATGTTCAGAAATATTAGCTGTACCACATGCTGCAGTGGAAAGGCAGCGGGAGATTAGGGAGATAAATTTGTGGCTAAAGTCATGGAAAAAGGAGAAGGGTTTGGGGCTTATAGAGCACTGGGACGCTTGGGTACAATCTTTATAGGTGCAAAACAGAAAAAAGGCACATGGGGGACTTTGGGAATGAGACACATGGGGAGTAATTAATTTATGCTGAATACTCCAATAAATTTAATTGTGGGTTTTGAATATTTCTAAATTTAAACATGAGATATGTTTTAGTAATACAAATTCACATAAATTAGACACTTCTGATAATAATAAATGTATGCTTACTGATACAAAGAGCCTAAATAACAAAATGAGGCAACTAAAGGCAATAGCGTACTAAGACACATGGGGGGGAGGGGGCTAGGGAATGAGACACACGTTGGACTGGGGAAATGAGACACATGGGGGACTTTGGGAATGAGACACACAGGGAGTAATTAATTTAGTCCTGTTGAACACTTCAATAAATTTAATTGAAAGAAAAAAAATATTTTTAATTATTTGCCTTATTCCAATGGATGATTATTTTAAATCAATATGAGATATACAATCAAGGCAATGTGAGATGCGTTGTAAATAACCTATTACATTTAACCTATCCCATCACAACCAATTCAATTTTCAGTGATACACCACACATTAATAAATTAACCCCAATTGAGGCCGACTGTGTCAGTAGTGATAGTGCACAACCGCACTGCCTCTCACATTGCCTTGATTGTATATCTCATATTGATTGAAAATCATCCATCCATTGGAATTAGGCAACTTATTAAAAATATTTTTTTTCTTTCTAACAAATCATTTGAGTGCGGTATCATATGTTTGTATTTACCTTATGATAGCCAACAGACTTATGAATGCAAAAGCAGAACGGGGTGGTAACTACCCATATCTTCACATATCATTTTAAAGATTAATTATCTGGAACGATTCATCTAGCACAGTTTTAAGTGAGTGTCTGTGAAGAACACAGTGAGAACTTGTGCTGTTATTTGCTACATTTCTTTATCATGTCACAGCACCTGCCACTTTTACAACCATTGCTTTGGCACCATCACTGCACACATCTACACATTTGTCCCAGTTTATACAGTTAAAGATATTCTCATCAGTGGTATGAGTTTGAAAAAGTTCCACACAGAAGCAAGTATTCTTCAATCCGTTTGTCAAAATTATATCTAACAAAAACCAACAAAATTGAAAGTCCTGCAATATCTGTGGACTCGTCTAATTGTAGTATGTACCCAACACATTGATGCAGTTGATACATTAGTTCAGTATGGATGTCATCAGCAAGATGATGAATACGGCACAAAACTGTGTTGCTGGAAAGTGGCACAGCTTAAATTTTTGACACAACTTCTTACTTAAAATACGTGACACGATTTTTTTTTGCACATGGTTTTATTAGTGATTCTCCAATTGTGTGTGCTTCTCAGGCAAGTGCTATGCAATACCTCACTCTGTAAGAAACCTCTGTGGCTTTTTCATTATAATTTTAAAATTGTTTGCTCATAAACTGTTTAGCCTTCTGATACTCCTAAAGCATTCGCTTAAAAAAGGCAATGTCTTTATCTTTGTACTCTGCGTGGTTTTGCTCAAAATGATGACATAATTTACCAGGTGCCAACAAACGGTTTTGGTAATATTTTCTTGAAAAGTAAGCATTGTGCTTCAGGACAGTCTTAATTTCTGACACTTGTGAATCCAAATGACAAGTAGTTGTCATCATATTTTCTTTTCTTTGTTTGAGAAGAATATTTGGTAGCATTGAGTGCTTTTTATTTTCTTTGACTTGTCACTTGTCTCTGCTATTTGAGGAACAGTAGATTCAACTATTTCAGACATGTTTTCTGGATTTCTGGTTATATCTTCTTTCTCAGTTTCAGTTTCTATAAGTGCCAAACAGTTAGAAGTAGTTGTGCCGGACCCTGTCCTGATACCTAGACTTGTCACCAAAATAACTATTCACTGTCTCCCTGGTTCGGTACCTTCCCTTCTCCCAAACATTTACTACCAAAAGCACTCTCACTGGCAGCTGTTCGGCAATGGTCTCCAGCAGTACTTGGCCGTGAAACTCCTCGAACTCAGATACGGCTACTGAACCTTTCTGCTTCAGATTACCTTGAGCCACTGTTTTGTCCCACTTGCCAACATGCCAGGAGAGAGCTTTTTGAAAGGTACTATAGACAAATTGGAACAATCACTCTCTGAGTACCAGTGGGAACCCTTCCTCGTTTGACAGCAGAAGCTCCCGCTATTTGACTGGGCCAAGCCACAATTATGGTGTAACTATTTTGGGCTAAATCCTCGTGTATGGCTGCTCAAAGCTTTACCCTAGGTGGCTATTGAACAATTCTTTATGGATCTGGGTGCTATTTTGCCAACTTGGGAGCATAGAAAAGCTATCCGGGGATGTATGATGCATGGGGTTCCTGTGTATTTTTACAGAATGTTGGTGGTGTTTTATGTTAGGCACTTTGTATCCAGGAGATAATTAGTTGAGAGATCAGCAACTTAATTATCTCCTGGACACAGTTGCGCCTGGGCGGTACTGTATGCATAAAATGGAGACCCCGTGCTGGGGATCTGTATATAAAAGACCAAGTCTGTGGAATAAAATCAATTGTAAACCCAGAACTATGTGTCATCTAGTTACTTGGGGGAATAGAGCTATTCACTAACAACACTTGTCCCAGCTTCAAGCGGAATCGGCGGAGATACCTATGCCAGGTAATGCAACTCTGCTACAGTAGTAATCAGTTTTCTCTGAATAGTTGCTTGCTTTAACCAGCTGTCCATATTCATGGTTGTTTATTGGTAAAAAAAACTAAACACTTGGAAAAATACAGATCGTGCCACCTATCCCTCTTGGGATAATATTCTCTCTTGTCTTTGCATTACGATCCAATAAAACTGCTCTCTATTTTAACCCATGAGTGCTTGAAGATTCTTTTTGGGTGTAATAGATATTTACCTAGCTGGACTAAAATATGGAAAAAAAAAACACCAAAGGAACAATTCTAATATGCCATGAACATTTAATAGACTTTAAATTAAATATATATTTAATAGACAATTACAGTAATGCAAGATTTTAGTTTTTGTAGTGTATGCTAGTGATTCTTTTGTGGTGACTTGTGACAATCTTTTACTTTTACATTTTCTGATGAATCTCTAAAAAGAAAAAAAAAAGAAATAGTTTATAAACATACTGAAAATATAGCAATAAAGCTTGGTTACACACACCGTGAGGTTAGAAAATTAAATATAAGAGATGGAATACTTGTAGGTATCATCAATCAGTGTTAAAGATATTCAATTTTAACATTTGGAGTGTTTCTTCTACCCTGTCAGTGCCAGGCATTCACACCAAACCTAAAAGTAAATATTACTTACCTTTTTATCCAGCTTTGAGCCCTCTCTTTCTGTTGCTCTGCCCTCACCACCCCACCCCCCCGTCTGATTGTCCATGACAATAGTCTCCTCTTCCGAAGCCTCCCTACCATTCCAATTTAGGTGCAACAGTCATGATCTTCAAGTCCATCCCTTTGGGATGCCACTGGCTCAACCCCTTTGCCCTCTCCCATCAAAGTAGACTAAAAGCATCTATTCTAGCCTTAAAGGAAATGTTATTTCAAATCAACTTAGCCTTCCTCTTTGGCCAGAGGACCCCCAGCGACAATCACCATCACGGATCTTTGAAAATTATTCAAAGACCCCAGATGGCGACTGTTCCGCTTTACAAACTTGAAATAAACTTGAAATTTGTGTTTGAAATATAAGAAACGTATCTCTTGCTAGCATTAACAACACAACTATCCATTTGTTCTTATCTGTGCATGCTCTGATCAGTGACCAGTCAAATTCTAACTCAATTCTGATTGAACTGAAATACCAGTTTCCAATCTGAATATCTGTATGAATACAAGTAAGATTTTACTCAATTTAGAGAGGCGTGGGGAGGGAGGGGACAGGAGGAGCTAGATAGTGGTTTAAGCACTATAGGGTCATGAATTCATGTTTGTGTTCCTGACCCTATAGTGTTTCTTTAATTCCCAGTAGAAAAAAAAATCATATACTGTACTAGAAATGCATTAATTATAGTTGGTGAGTGATTCACAGCAAGGTGACCCTCCTCTCTCTCCCTGTGAGCTGCACTCTGTGTGTAATTACTTCCTTTCGCAGAGTGCCACTATGTGGCCGGAGGGAGGAACAGCTCAGTATAGTTACTAGCTATGCGGGTCAGCTCCTGGGATTTGTTTTTTGCTGGGACAGGAGTCCAAAACATGGGACTGTCCAGGAAAAAATGGGACTTTGACTTTCAGGCCCTTCAAGCCTCAGATTTTACTCTACAAGTGTGTGCATGTAGTGGGGATAGTGGTGGGGTAGAGGTAGCTGTGGCCAGGGAGGAGAAAGCAGGAGCCAGTTGGATAGGTAAGATCACAACATACTCAAATGTACGCACAGACTGCTGTAGGAAAAGGCAGGAGCTCTATTTAGCAGAAATCAGAAGCTTTTTAAAAAGTGCTTTATAGATGTGGATAGGGCTGTATTTCCCATTAAGACGAGTGGGCACCTGACCACTAGGGGGCACCTGTTTTGAGCAATTAAAATGTGCCTTTTGGGGCTTAAATAGGCTAGTGGGGAGAGATAAGTACCAGGAGCCTTGGCCACTGTCCCATGTAGACCATTCAGCCTTGACAGCAGAGCTACAGGAAAAGTTATAGACTCTGTGAAACTCAGTGCTGTCCCAGCATCTCAAGTGTCTCTGTGTGAGGCTGGACAGGAAGTGGAAGGGATCACATATATGTATGTATATATATATATATGTATCAACTCCTGCAGCTCTAGTATCGTCAGTCTGACTGAACTACAGAATACTAGGAGGGAGAGTACTTCACAAATAACCTCTCAAACTCCAGCAATCAAAGCTTTAAAGGGACACTATAGGCACCCAGACCACTTCAGCTCACTAAATGCAGTGTCCCTATTGCACTTGGGGCTGTAATGTTAAACATTGCAGTTCCAGAGAAACTGCAATGTTTACATTGCAGCTCTAAGTCTGACCTCATGGCTGTCTATCAGACAGCCACTGGAGGCACTTCCTGGATCCAAACGGACCTTTGGTCCAGTAACTGCTCTGCATGAAGACATGAGGAATTTTCGCCATAGAAAGTTTTTGGGGCCTGAAATATCTAGGTATTAAATTAATTATATTTACTTCATATGCCTTATTTTTGGTTTGCGTGCAGGGGTCGCCTTAGAATTTTGTGCCTTCCTGCACCTGACATGAAGATCTGGCCCTGGGTGGGGAGTGGTCCTTTAAGATGTACATGTCCACCCTTTTATACCTTTTATAACAGTAAGTGTGCTATTATTTCATGTAGTTACATTTTCTTTGTAAATATTAAAGTCAGCTTGAGATCTGGGCAACACTTGTCCACTTCAACGGAATTTGATGTTTCAGACTCCCTGGACATTTTTATATTGTTTTGATACTCCCCCAGTATATTACTACAGATGGTTTGACAAGGCATTTGATATTGATAAAATACTAACCTTACTTCTGGCCATTAGAGTCTTGGCCATGTGATTGCTTCCCAACTTCCCATCCTGCAAAGACATTGAGAGTGTAAAGTTAGACCATATCCCATTATTCTGATAGATAATACCATTTTAGAGAGGAGCAATCATTGTATTTTGACTTTTATTGTTTTTTCTGGTTGTTGCTTATAGAAAAGATGCAGCAGAGGTAAATACGGTATATACAGTCGATCACTCTCAGATTCTAGAATAGTGTTCTATATTCACACTTACACTTCAAGCGGCCTTTAAACTGGAACTAATCCCTTACATTTGGCAGCAATTTGCCAAACTCACAGGAACTGCGACACATTAGAAAAAATATAATTTAGATGAAAATAGCCAATCTGAATATCTATTTCTGCTCCTCTGTCAGTATTCAGCAATTTCCAGTTTAGTTAATTAACCCTGATAGTTGACTGTGAGCCATGATCCCATATAATACCATACATGTTTAATTGATTACATAAATTTAGCCATTTAATTACAACCTAAACATACACTTTATATCAGCACTATGGGATGAAAGAATGGAATATACGCTCAAGTTAAAAAAACGAACAGGGCTCTGGAAATTACGAAGCAAAAAAAAAGATATGATATCCTTGTTACAACCTTGTACTCATTGACCAAGGAGATCACAGTGCTTCACTACTTTTACGAAATATAGGTGATCCAACTGTTAATTCTTATACCAGGCAGACTGGGAAACAAGAATTTATCTCTATCTGCTCCTGAAACCACCATCATCAGACTTAACCCCACACTTACCACCATGCTGGGCACTATGATTTTCATAATGTCCCTGTTGTCCTTGTTGTCCTTGTTGTTTTTCTATTCCTATGTGAACCTGATAGAATTGTTGGTTTTGCCCTCCATGATGGCTCAGCTGGCCAAGGCCTTCCTGGTGTCCTGATTGGCTCTGCTGGCCAGCATCTTCATGGTGACCTGTTTGACTCAGCTGGCCAAGACCTCCCTGGTGTCCTGATTGACTCTGCTGGCCGAGGCCTCCGTGGTGTCCTGATTGGCTCTGCTGGCCAGCATTTCCATGGTGACCTGATTGACTCAGCTGGCCAAGACCTCCCTGGTGTCCTGATTGGCTCTGCTGGCCAAAACCTCCATGGTGTTCTGATTGGCTCTGCTGGCCAGCATCTCCATGGTGACCTGTTTGACTCAGCTGGCCAAGACCTCCCTGGTGTCCTGATTGATTCTGCTGGCCAAGACCTCCGTGGTGTCCTGATTGGCTCTGCTGGCCAGCATCTCCTTGGTGACCTGATTGACTCAGCTGGCCAAGACCTCCCTGGTGTCCTGATTGGCTCTGCTGGCCAAGACCTCCGTGGTGTCCTGATTGACTCTGCTGGCCAGCATCTCCTTGGTGACCTGATTGACTCAGCTGGCCAAGACCTCCCTGGTGTCCTGATTGGCTCTGCTGGCCAAGACCTCCATGGTGTCCTGATTGGCTCTGCTGGCCAGCATCTCCATGGTGACCTGTTTGACTCAGCTGGCCAAGACCTCCCTGGTGTCCTGATTGACTCTGCTGGCCAAGACCTTCATGGTGTCCTGATTGGCTCTGCTGGTCAGCATCTCCATGGTGACCTGATTGATTCAGCTGGCTAAGACCTCCCTGGTGTCCTGATTGGCTCTGCTGACCGTGCTGGTGACCCTGTTGGCTCTGCTGGCCAGCACCTCCTGTGTGACTCTGGTTGAATTGTTGGCTTTGCCCTCCATGGTGTCGTGATTGGCTCTGCTGGCCAAGACCTCCATGGTTTCCTGTTTGGCTCTGCTGGCCAGCATCTCCATGTAGACCTAATTGACTCAGCTGGCTAAGACCTCCATGGTGTCCTGATTGGCTCTGCTGACCGGCATCTCCATGGTGACCTGACTGGCTCAGTTGGCCAAGACCCACATGGTGTCCTAATTGGCTCTGTTGACCAGCATCTCCACTATGACCTGATATGTTCTGCTGGTCAGAACCCCCATGGTGTCCTGATTGACTCTGCTGGCCAGCACCTCCTTGGTGACTCTGATGGCTTTGCTTTCCAGCACCACCATCATGACCTTGTTGGCTCTCTTTGCCAGCACCTCCATGGTGACCTTGATGACTCTGTTTTCCAGCATCTCCACTATTACCTGATATGCTCTGCTGGTCAGAACCCCCATGGTGTCCTGATTGACTCTGTTGGCCAGCACCTCCTTGGTGACTCTGATGGATTTGCTTTCCAGCACCACCATCATGACCTTGTTGGCTCTGATTCCCAGCACCTCTATGGTGACCTTGATGACTCTGTTGGCCATCACCTCCTTGGTGACCTGATTGAGCCTGCTGACCAGCACTTCCATGGTGACCTTGTTGGCTATGCTGGCCAGCACCTCCATAGTGTTCTGATATGCTCTGCTGGCCAGAGCCCCCATGGTGTCCTGATTGGCTCTGCTGGCTAGAACCTCCATGGTGACTCTGTTGGCTTTGCTTTCCAGCACCACCATCATGACCTTGTTGGCTCTGTTGACCAGAACCTCCATGGTTGCCTTGTTGGTTCTGCTGTCCAGCACCAATATGATGGCCTGATTGGCTCTGTTGACCTGTACTTCCATGTTGATCATACTGGTTCTGCTGGCAAGCACCTCCATGGTGATCCTGTTGGCTCTGCAGGCCAGCACCTCCATGGTGACCTTGTTGGCTCTGTTGGCCAGCACCTCCGTGGTGACCCTGTTGGCTCTGCTGTACAGCTGTATAATTGTGACTTTGCTGACTCTGCTGACCATCACTTCCGTGGTAACCCTGCCTTTGACTGCCCTGATGACCATCTCCGCCATGGTGATCCTGTTGCCCTTGTTGGCTCTTCTGGCTACGACCTCCTTTAACTCCAGACATGATAGTATATAGTTTTGTAAAGACTGCTTGAAGAAGGAAGAAAGGTAGAGTGTTTAATATATGTGTACTCTGGTTGAAGTAGCTCCTTTTATATTCCAAATGTTTAATTTGTCAAAGAGGGATCTTATTCAATTGGATGAATTCACTCTGATTCATACATTGCTTGGTTTGTTTCATTTTACCCCTTTGGATCATTATATGAGCAACCTGAATTGTAAAGGTTCATAAAGAAGAAAATATTTAATGCTGTTAATGGATTGTTACCTTCAAAGAGATTATTTTAAACATCGTATAATGGTACATAATATCATCATAAAATACGATGACCTAGCGCATTATAAATTATGATGAGATAGCTCATTATGAGTGATTGTGAATAAGCAAGCTTTATATATTCTTAAATGAGAATAAGTGAATAAATATAAAAATAAAAGTACAAATGTAAATGAGAGAATATTCAAACTTGTTAGAAAATAATGTTAAAACATAGAAACATAGAATGTGACGGCAGATAAGAACCATTCGGCCCATCTAGTCTGCCCAATTTTCTAAATACTTTCATTAGTCCCTTGCCTTATCTTATAGTTAGGATAGCCTTATGCCTATCCCACGCATGCTTTAACTCCCTCACTTTGTTAACCTCTCCGACTTCAGCTGGAAGGCTATTCCATGCAACCAATACCCTCTCTTGAAAATAATATTTCCTGAAATTATTTTTGAACCTTTGCCCCTCTAAATATCCTCTTGTTGTGGTAGGTTTTCTTCTTTTAAATATAGTCTCCTCCCTTTATGTATTTAAATGTTTTTATCATACCCTTTGTCTCGTCTTTCCTCCAACCTATGCATGTTAAGATCCTTTAACCTTTCCTTGTAAATTTTATCCTGCAATCCATAAACCAGTTTAGTAGCCTTTCTCTGAAATCTCTCCTAAGTATCAATATCCTTCTGAAGATACGGTCTCCCGTACTGTGTACAATACTCCAAGTGAGGTCTCACCAGTGCTCTGTACAATGGCATGAGCACTTCTCTCTTTCTACTGCTAATACCTCTCCCTATACAACCAAGCATTCTGCTAGCATTTCCTGCTGCTCTATAACATTGTCTGCCTACCTTTAAGTCATGTGAAATAATTACCCCTAAATCCCTTTCATCAGATGTCGAGGTTAGGACTCCTTCAAATATTCTGTACTCTGATCTTGGGTTGTTACACCAAGGATGCATTCTCTTGCACATATCCACATTAAATGTCAGTTGCCACAGAACTGACATTTTTCTAGTTTACCACTGTTGCTGTAATGATGTAGGGAATACCCTGGTGACATTTCTTGGATCCTGGCAGGTGCCAAATCTCCCTTAATGCTAGCTGAATAGAGTCTAGCTGCAACCCTAACTGTGTAAATTAGAGGTTTAATAAGTGGGTTATGTAGGACCTGTAATTTGCAAAAATAGGGCATTGTCCATTTCACAATATTTGACAAACAATATATTCTTCCTTGTATTTTCAAAAAAAAGAAAAAAGCACAAATACAAAACAATAGTGCTCTCTGCAATATCTAACTTAAACGTTAATAATGGTCAATAAAATGTGTGCAGGGTATATCTCAAAAAGTGCTTCCCAAATGATATTGCACTCCCAATATGCCATGTATATGTGCAAGGTATATTACAAAAATGGCTCCCCAATGGTATATGCACATAATCAGAGCAAATAATCCCTTGTATTAGTCGAAGTGCAGACTCGATGGTATACGCACATAATCAGAACAAATAATCCCTTGTATTAGTCGAAGTGCAGACTCGATGGTATACGCACATAATCAGAGCAAATCCTCCCTTGTATTAGTCGAAGTGCAGACTCAGAATCGACTTCGAAAGTTCCTCAGAACTCAATGGAGAGACAATGGAAAACTCTGCTCTGAAACAGTCATTGGTTGATTATAACACCAAATAGGTTTAAATCAAAGGGCAAGTAGAGCTTGCGAATTTAATGAATGTTCGCTCTGTTTATCATTGTTGCTCTACTCTTGCTATTGGTTTTTGCTCATTACCATTTGGTTTTCTCAAAGTTGGGCTAGAAAAGGAAACAGTTGTCTGTCGTTCACAATGACTGTAAGTGACAGATAGTCTTGAGAAAGAACAGAGAAAACCATGACAAATAAATAAATCTATGTTTAGACGTTTTAATTTGTCTATTTTTGTGTATCCATTATTATAGAGAAAACTGAAAAAATGTTTTTTTGAAAATTTTGAAAATGTCACAAAAGTTTTCAAATCAAATAATACATTAGGCACCATAAGAAAAACCTGCCCGTCCTTTAAAAAATATGAGCTATTTGGATGCATTAAATATTAAAATGGAAACTGTTGTCTAAAAGAAAAATGTAATTGCTCTGGTCTTCCAGAGAAAAATATCCCTTGTCTTAACGGTTAAGCTGTAGCTATGTAAAGTATGTGGTTCTCCTGTGTGAATTGTTCATTTGAATGACACATGCACTTTACCTATAAAAATGACTTTATGCTTTGTATCCCGTGACTGGCCCCTGTATTTTTATTAAAGAGGAAATATGTATAGAATGTGTTGGGGGTTAGCTGTTGTTAATTTCTTTGCACCAGGTAAGCGGTTGGTGGATTTTGGGTTAGCTGTAGCCATTAAATAGTAGAGACAGAGTTGGAACTCAGTTGGAAGCCAGTAATTAAGCAGCGGTAAGCTGCTTCCACAGAGAATAATGGAAGCTGTTAGCTGCTAGTTAGTGAAGGTTTTTCAGCAGATGCAGCTGGTAACTACCTGTCGCTACAGGTGAAATGTTGCAGTTGGGAAACAGTCGCTACTCTATAACACCAACAGGGCATTTTAGTGAGTAGTGTAAGCTGCTAAAAAGTAATAACAACTAAGGAGAAAAGCACATAGTTTTATATATCTTATTGAACAGACATTAAAAACAACAATTACTTTACTTTCTTTATAATGGAAATATGACATGTAGGCACCTGCTTTTCAACTTGAATATCATTACCGAGTGGGTTAGGGTAGGTAACAGGGCGGGACTGAGGAATAACGTTTTTAATCACATCGGCCCAGTGGGGAGGGGTTGGGGCCAGAGAGGGAATGCGTAGTAGCTTGCCTGCTCTTTCAGGGCCCTGCTGAAGAGCTCTCACATAAGAAAAAAGGCTCTGACTTTGTTCTGCGCAGGTGGTGAAGCGTGTGTCTATAGGGGATCTAGTGTGTATGTACAGCATCCAAAGTGTGTGTAGGTTATCTTGTGTGTGTGTGTGTAGAGGATCCAAACTGTGTATATAGGATCCAGAGTGTGTGTGGGGATCTAGTGTGCATAGGAAATTAGTGTTTTTCTGGAATGTAGTGTATGTAGTGGTGCAGTGTGAGTGTTTGAAGGGTGCAGTTTCTGTGTGTTTGAAGGCTGCAGTGAATGTGACGGAGCAGTGTGTGTCTGAGGGGTGCAATGTGTGTGTGAGGGGTGCAGTGTGTTAATGTTACATAGTTACATAGCTTAAAAGAGACTTGCGTTCATCAAGTTCAGCCTTCCTCACATATGTTTTTGCTGTTGATCCAAAAGAAGGCAAAAAACCCCCAGTCTGATGTGCTTCCAATTTTGCAACAAACTAGGAAAAAATTCCTTCTTGACCCCAAAATAGCAGTCAGATGTCTCCTTGGATCAAGCAGCTATTACCCCACTAATTAGAAATTTTATCCTTGTATGTTATGTTTTTGCAAGTATTTATCCAATTGCAGTTTAAACATCTGTATGGACTCTGATAAAACCACCTCTTCAGGCAGAGGATTCCATATACTTATTGTTCTTACTGTAAAAAACCTTTTCTTTGCCTTAGATGAAATCTTCTTTTTTCCAACCTAAATGTGTGACCTCCTGTCCTATGAATAGCCCTGTTTATGAATAGATTCCCAGATAATGGTTTGTACTGGCCCCGAATATATTTGTATAATGTTATCATATTCCCTCTGAGGTGCCGTTTTTCCAAACGAAAGAGATTTACATTTTTTTTTTTAACCTTTCTTCGTAACTAAAATGCTCCATTCCTTTTATCAATTTTGTAGCTTGTCTCTGCACTTTTCCTAGTGTCATGATATCCTTCTTTAGAACAGGTACCCAAAATTGCACAGCATATTCAAGGTGTGGTCTTACCAGTGAATTATAAAGACGCAAAATTATATTTTCATCCTGAGAATTTATGACCCTATTTATACATGAAAAAACCTTACTGACCTTAGCAACTGCAGATTGACATTGCATATTACTGCCTAATTTGTTGTTTATAACAATTCCCCAAATCCTTCTCATGTGTGGTTATCCCTAATTAAGTACCATTCAGGGTGTAAGTTGCTTGTGAATTCTTGACCCCGAAGTGCATAACTTTGCGTTAAATTTCATCTGCCATTTTAGTGCCCAGTCCCCCAATCTATCCAAATCTCTCTGCAGCAAAGCAATATCCTGCTCACATTTTATTACTTTACAAAGTTTTGTGTCATCTGCAAACACTGAAACATGGCTTTCAATGCCTATTTCAAGATCATTTATAAATATGTTAAATAGAAGCGGTCCCAAAACAGGACCCTGATGGACACCACTTACCACTTTTGTCCAGCCTGAAAATTTACCATTAATGACAACAATGTTCTACCCAAGAACAAGAATAATCATCTAGACTAATTTCTTTTAGTTTGAAGACTAACCTATTGTGAGGAACCGTATCAAATGCCTTGGCAAAATCCAAGTAGATCACATCCACTGCAACACTCGAATCTATACTTCTACTTAATTCTTCGTAGAATGCAATTAGGTTAGTTTGACATGACCATGTTTCATAAAACCATGCTGATTATTGCTAATAACAAAGTTCTTCCCAATAAATTCCTAAAAATTATCCTTTAATTGCCCTTCAAATATTTTCCCAGTCATAGAAGTTA